ATGATAGAATTGCTTATCTCACATCGGATGATAAGGGCGTCCTTGTGTGATCCAGTGCCCGGAGGCAAATCCTTGTCGGTGAAGGTGATCGCCTCCATCCGCTGCTTCTTCGGCTGAGGGCGAACGTGAGATACCTCGCCGACGTAAAGGGATTGAGCCCATTTCTTTCTCTGGGTGGCAGAGTCCCCCCAGTGTTTCCACCCACAATGAGGTGAATGTGGTTCTTCTTCAGCGGAGGCTCCTCGAAATCTTCATCGTCATCGCTGAGCCTATCGATTTCGCGTTTCTTCGTAGAGGGTTCTCCCCCAGGTTTGCCAGTGTTTACCCATGTATTTTTGCGCGGGCCACCTTTAACAAATTGGGAGAGTTCCCCCTGCCGAATCAGGTGTTCGATGACTTTCTTCAGCGTGACGCAATCATCGGTGTTGTGGGAGGTGTTTCGGTGGAAACGGTAGTAGGTGCTGCCCTGGTGAACAACATAGATTTCCTTCGCTGGCCGAGGATCCCGTTCAATAAGATCATTTTCCTCGGCGTAATCGAGGATGGTGCTGACCGAGTGTGTGAGAGGGGTCCTCGGCCTTTCCATCCTTGGTCTCCACGGGTGATCCTTCTTGTTCTGTCCGCCCTGACCGACCGAGGGTGCGCCAGTGGTAGGTGCGGGATTTGTCTTCCTGGAGGGGTGCCCTCCGTCCTTCTTGTGGCTATGGAGCTCGTCGGCGTCAGCGTACAAGTTTCCTCGCTGAAGCGCCTTCATGCAGGACCTTGGAGGGTCAGTGATGAGACTCCCGCATATGGGGTGCTACGCAGGGCACCCTGAAACATGACCAAGAGGGTGCGCTCATCAGCCCCCTCTACCTCATCGGTCTCCCTCGTCCATCGGTCGATGAACGACCGGAGTGATTCGTCATGTTGTTGCTTGACGGAGAGGAGATGGGTGAAATATTTCTTCGCGCGCTTCCTGCCGGCAAAGTGAGTGAGGAAACGCTGTGCAAGATCCTTCCAGGAGTATTTGCTTCCTTCGGGGAGCACATTGAACCATTCATATGCTGGCCTCTCAAGAGTGGAGAGGAACCAGCGGCAGAGGTATTCATCTGATGCATTCATCATTAGCATGTTGTTCTGATAGCGGTTGAAGTGCTCCTGAGGGTCGGTGCGGCCGTCGTAGGATTTGATGGCGTTTCCCCGGTACTTCTCGGGAATAGGAGCTGAAAGTACCCTTGGAGTGAAGGGGGTCCGGGTCCTGACCTGGATGACAGGGTCACCTCGCCCTTCGCCCATCTCCCTTTCCAGAGCGCTGACCTTATGCATGAGCGCGTTGTAACAAGGATCTCCGGATGTATTGGCCGTAGGGATGTTGGCCGATTGCCTGGCCTCCATTTGGGCCAGTCTCCTTTCCAGCTGGGCGATGACCTCGTCCCAAGGATCTTTGGCGGCCGCAGTGGCGCCCTGCTCGTTATGCACACGGGCTGCATGAGCCGTGTTGATCTGGTGGCGCGTGTCATCCTCGTGTAGTTTCCCTTTGCCCTTGTCCAGGCGGGGCCGATCCACTGTCCGGGATACGTACCCCAAGCTTTCCCTAGGTGTGCCAGGTTCACGCTCGCCGATCCGTCCCGCCATCCTCTCCGATGCTGGCCGACGGCGCGTGTCACCTAGCCTATTGAAGGCTGAGGCTTTTCCATGCGCTGGGGCCGGTCCAGCTCGAAGCGGGGAGGCAGGGTGAGAGCGGGATGACGACATGTCCTGAGGCTGCACCCCTTTGTCATTGCCAATCCTGATGGCCAACGGCTGGGACTGAGGGGGCGGTGTAGTGTTCTCCTCAGTCCTAGCTATGAGTGCACTAAGGACGGTGGGATTTTGGGCGAGGCTGGCGATGATGGCCGAGAGTGCGGCCTGGACCTGAGGGTCAACAACAGGAGAGGCCGGTTGCGCCGAGGCATTGTCGCCCTTTTCTGCGCGCTTCTTGTCCAAGCCGATGCGGGCGTCTGGGGCACCGCCGTTGAGCTTGTGGCACATGTCAGTTGTGAGGTCGATGGCTTCCTGGAAGACATCTCCCCCAGCGACCTTGTCGGCCGTCGCTTCCTCCTCGTGTTCCCTGTTCTCCTGAGTCTAAGGGATGGTCTTGCTGACGAGGTTGCGGTTGGACTTAGTTATTCCCATGATCAGTTAGATGTGCTTGGTAGCGATAAAGGATGCTAACTTGATTGTTCTAGCTCTCAATGAGAGCACCAAATGATAGAGTAATTGTTTAGAGAGAAGTGAGAGCTAGAGAGAGAAGTGAAGTAAATGCTTCAATTAATGATTTTTTCAACCCCTACAACTACTCCAAAAGGGATATTTATAGAGAAAATGTTGGCTGGGCTCCCAAGTCTTGGGCTTGGGAGGCCCATCTACAATTGGACCGCTACTGGGCTGAATACAAGATGTGTAGGAATGACTAAGTATGAAATCCTGTTCTGTGAGTTCTCCGTGGTCGATGAGGGCGTGGCCGACGGAGACCCGGCCGACGGGGTCACCCGGTTCTCCTGGCTTTTGGACCATATTCTGGGTTGATGTCTCCCTGGCCGATGGAGGCATGGCCGACGAAGACCCTACTAGGTGACAACTGTGCTTTCTTTTCTTCTGAGTATGTGGGTCCTGGGGCCTGGACCCATATACTCCATCACACATTTTTCAAAATCCTAGGTATTGATATGAATACCTTTGAAATAAAGTGGCTCCGCCACTGGTGCTAAATAATGATAAATATTGTTTGTAGTGAAAGATGAAACTAAAAACTGGTAACATTCTATAAACTTTTGTCACAGAAAAAATGTACGTATTCAAACACTTTTCTTTCAGTGTCAGTGTACACGAGAAAAATGTTATAAAAAGTTAGTGTTAGATTGCACCAAAACAAATGTCAATGTACACAAACAAAATTTGTATATACTTTTTGTTTACACAGACAACTAGCAACACAACTAACAAATAATGGGGGTGTTTGGTAAAAGGCATTTCAGTCAAAAAATGACGGTTTGACCACTTTTAGCGTTTTCAATAAGTGAAAAAGTTGTTTGGTAAATGGTTGTTCGGCACCACGGAAACGCTGAAATGAAAATGCTATTAATAGGAGAGTTTTGGGTTGGCGTATTGAAAAATGATATTTTCTATAATTTTATGACCAAACAACTAAATTACCAAACATCTTCTAATAACCCGCCAATTTATTCCGCTAGTCAAATCCGCTGACCAAATCTCCTGTTGATAACCCATCAACATAACCCGCTATCCGCGAACCACTGAATGCCAAACACGCCCAATGTAGTGTACACTGGCATTGGTTTCCATGCAACCATTTGACAAATCTGCAAAAAAGGTACACCAATCAATGTGATTTACACTCCCAAATCAATTTATGTTAACACAAACATTTTTTGTCGAAAATGTCTGTATTTGTACCTTTTTTGTCTGTGTGAAGGGCAAATTAATCTATTTATATTTCTACTCTATGTAATTTACAAAGCATAATTGTTTAATGTATTAATTCAATTAATCTATTCATATTTATGTGAAGGAAGCCTAAGGAAAAGTGAACAAGGAATTGTATGTAAAGTTGGATTCTAAAGAAGGAGAAAAAGATATCTACAAACTTGCTCGCCTTTGTGATCGTAGGACTCAAGATATCGGAAAAGAGTGTGTGAAGGATGTCGATCAAAGGGTACTAATGGACAATGAAGAAATAAAAGAGAGGCGGGGGTCATACTTTGATACCTTGTTCAAAGGGAATAAAGTCCAAGGTATTGATGATCTTACTATACCAGAGTGTATGGTAAATAGGGACTTCGTGAGAAGGATTCAAACAACAGAAGTTCAAGAGGCTGTGATAAAAATGGGCCGGAAGAAAGCAGTGGGCTCAGATGGCATACCGATCGAGGCTTGGAGAAGTTTGGGAGAGAAAGGCATCGAGTGGCTAACACGTTTCTTCAACATGATTTGGAGAAATAACTAAATGTGAGTGAGTTGGCGGAAGAGTACTCTCATTCCCTTATTTAAAAATAAGGGTGATGTACAAGAATGTGCTAACTATCGAGGGATTAAGCTTATGAGTCACACCATGAAATTTTGGGAGCGAGTGGTTGAGCAAAGACTTCGTAAAAGTGTGAAAATTTCGGAGAATCAATTTGGTTTTATGCCTGGATGCTCAACAACGGAGGCCATTCACCTTCTTAGACAAGTTGTGGAGAAGTATAGAGACACTAAAAAGGATCTGCATTTGGTGTTCATTGAATTAGAAAAGGCACATGATAGGGTACCTCGAGAAGTTCTTTGGTGGGCCTTAACTAGAAAAGGCATATCACGTAAGTATATCAGCATCATCATGAATATGTATGATGCTTGTACTACAAGTGTCCGCACTATTATAGGGAGGACCGCAGAGTTCCCTATTACTATCGAAGTGCACCAAGGATATGCTCTGAGTCCTTTCTTATTTGCTATAGTCATGGATGAACTTACGAAGTCAATTCAAGAAGATATACCGTGGTGCATGATGTTTGCCGACTATATTGTATTGATTGATGAGTCAAATCTGGTGTTAAAGCAAAGTTGGAAGTAGAAGGATGGTGAGGAGATACCGGTGTGTGATATGTTCCGTTACTTGGGATCCATAATTCAAAAGGATGGTGAATTAAATGGAGATGTATGCCATATAATCAGAGCTGGGTGGATGAAATGGAAGAGTGCTTCAGGATTTCTATGCGATCGAGGTATGCTGACTAGACTGAAAGGTAAATTTTATCGTACAACAATTAGGCCGACATTAATGTATGGCGTAGAGTGTTGGACGGTGAAGCAATGTCACATTCAAAAGATGAGTGTGACAGAGATGCGTATGTTGCGTTGGATGTGTGGACATACCAGAAAAGACCGCTTGAGGAATGAGGTAATCAGACAAAAGGTGGGAGTGTCACCTGTAGAAGATAAGATGTAGGAGTCTCGTTTGCGGTGGTTTGGACATGTGCGTAGAAGACCGAGTGATGCACCTGTTAGACGACTTTAGGGGTGGGGAGAAGAGTCAGAGAAGAGAGGGAAGGGAATACCCAAACAGACTTGGATTAGAGGAATCAGAACTGATTTGCATCTTCTTGGGTTGGATGAGAGTATGACTTTGAAGAGAGCAAAGTGGAGGGCGCACATCCATGTGAATGATTGATGTCTTGTCTACCTTTCCCCTCTTTTTTCTTTTATCGTTTATCTTCCTTATCTTTTTATATCCTTATGTTATTTTTATCTTCTAGCTTTTTTTATGCTTTTTTATTTTTTATCTTTTATCTTTGTTATATTATTGCGTTATTGTTATCTTATATTTATTTATCTTTATTTTATTCATTTTATCTTACTTTTTTATTTCCTTTTCTTGTCCGTCTTCTTTTTTTGGCATCGATATCATAGATCTATTCATGTTAGACGACCCCAAATTCTTTTGGAATTAGGGTTCGGATGATGTTGTTGTTGTAGTATATTTATGTTCTTTGTAAATTACATGGAGTAGAAGTTTTTTTTTTCATTTAGGGACTGAACTTGTTTTTTCGTTTTACTCCAAAAAATTGGTGGGTTTGGATTTGGGTTGAATTGTATATGGGCGGGCTGCCGTCCTCCCTGAAAAAGCAGATGAATGCTAGAAGGGGAAATAGACGATTCAGCAGCGTTTTTTCTTCACTTTCATTTCAGTTCAGAAGACTCTCGTATGGTAAGCAATGCATTGGATGCTCTACTCTCCCTAATATATTTCGCAATGTTGAAACCTGAGCTATTGCAAGCGTCCGCTCTCTGATTTTAAGATTTCCTTCATTCATAAACATGATTAGTTGCTTTCCTGGATTTATTCTCAATCTCTTGTGGCAGCTTTGCGCATCAATAACACTTCTTTTCTTTTTACCGCAGGATTTGTTTAGGAAGGCCCTTCTTCACACGGGACCCCCGGAGGAGTTCGCTCTCCAGACTGTGCAGGAAGCTATAAAACCTCAGGTAGTCAGACCTTTAAGCTATTCTAGCTAAGGCTTCATACGTGTAGTTGAATTTCGAGATGGAAGTGGACCTTCTAGTATCTACTAACGGAACTACGAAACGATAAAGCTAGTAGCTGGCTAGTCCTAAACATGCTTGGTGCTTACTGTTATTTAACGCGAGTACATATATTGCTCTTCTAAGTTTGATCAAGGAGTAACACGTATTTCTATGGAGTAACATATAGTTCTCTATGAATTTATCATATATATGTCCTATTTGATTATGATAGTATGCTATGCTTAATCAATTTGAATTTATCCTTTCTTCCTGTTCCCAATTTGAATTTATCTTTTTGTCATGCTCTCAACTTGATGATTGAAATGCATCAACTCAACAGTTAGAACTAATGTAGTGTAACATAGTCTCCCACTCAGGCTTTATAGTTTGTAGCTTACCTATTTGGCTATTTCAGGAAAATAAGATTTCACTATATATAGAAATGTAATGAAAAGATTTCCTCCTTTTCTTGTGTTCATTCTGTTCTATTGGAAACTTTTATTCTTTTGCTCTATAGATATACTGATTCAATGATTTCTTTTTCCTTTTGCCACTTGACAGAGGCAAACCAAATTAGTCCAAGATGAGAATCAGCTGCTGGAGAATATTCTAAGGTCTCTACTACAAGAATTAGTTGTAAGTTTTTTTCATGTCATTGGCAATGCTACCATTTGTTTTTTCAAGTTCCACAATCATTGAGAAATGTGAACTAGCTTTTTTTGTTGAAAAATGTGAACTAGCTTTAACAGTATCTTTTCATGAAAGAAAGACGATTCATTTTTAAGGATAAAAACAAAGCTGCAGGGACTTGAAATCTCACATCACAGGAAGTTATGAAATTTCTCCATAATTGCCAACAAACTCTAGCAATTGTCAACTTTCTAGGAGCATAAGAATCCATTGTATGGACATCATTCTGTTTTCTTGCTGTACTCCCTCTCTTTGTATCCGTAAATTTTTAACTGATTGCTTATTTGCTTGACTGGTGAGTCATTCTGATTTCTGATTAATAACACTTGTTGTTTCTTAATGCAGTCTTCTGCTGTTCAGGCAGGGCAGAAAATAATGCAGTATGGGCAGTCAATTGATGACGACGAAACTGGTTATGGTCAAATTCCACGCCTTCTTGGTAAAATACACTTATTATAGTCTTTATATCATCTATTTTCTCCAATACTTCCACATTCCGTGGCAGTCGAGTCTAGTAGCACAATGGCTGTTTACTACAATCATAACCCACTACTCCAGGGTGCTCACATACCCATCCCTTCTTCAATGAAATTTAGCAGGTAGTTCATAGTTGCACCTAAAACCAAAAAAACTACTCAGTGCTTGTTTGATAAAGTCACCTGCTTTGTGAAACATGCATCTACGACACAGCTTATAGTAGCCTTTCTTTTCTTCTTCCAAATAAACCTATTCCTTATTGACAGTGTAAATCACACCCTCTTGTATGTCCAATGTGTTAAACATGTGTATGGTTGAATACAACTGCATTTTCCTGGACAGACATTGTGCTATATCTTTGTGAGAAAGAGCATATTGAAGGTGGTATGATATTCCAGCTTTTAGAAGATTTGACAGAAGTGTCCACAATGAAAAATTGTGAGGACATATTTGGTTACATCGAAAGTAAACAAGATGTATTGGGGAAGGTTTGTAGTGTTTGATTTTCAATCCATCTATACTTTTTTTGCACATTAACTGTGTGCTCTTGTGTATGTATGTTCATGCATATGTGTGCCATCTATGCTAAATGGATTGTGATGTTTTTCTTATAATATGTAGCCAGAACTGTTTGCACGAGGAAAACTTGTGATGTTAAGAACATGCAATCAACTTCTTCGCCGGCTGTCAAAGGTAAACTGTTTAATCTTTACCTCTTTGTTGTGCAGTGTCCAATGCTGTTTGTTGCTAAAACTAATTGTTCCTGAGCATTTGGCATTGTAGGCTAATGATGTTGTGTTCTGTGGAAGAATAATCATGTTTCTTGCTCACTTCTTCCCACTATCTGAACGCTCCGGTACTTTTGATCTCCTGTATTTTGTGTGTGATATAAAATGATTCTCTTCACCCCGAATGTGTTACCTTCTATGCCCTGTTTCAGCGGTTAATATAAAGGGAGTATTCAATACATCAAATGAGACAAAGTACGAGAAAGAAGCTCCCGAAGGTAGATGCTGTACTTGTTACATCGGTCATTAGTTATGTGAGGTCCGCTTATTTATTATATATATATGTTTGATCTGCAGGTATTTCAATAGATTTCAACTTCTACAAAACCTTTTGGAGTTTACAGGTTAGTATCATGCGTCTTGGACCTGAGAGTTGATAAAATATATGTTACTTCATTACATCATCAGGACTTTCTTGATCATTCTACATATGTGTCTGCTGGGAAAGCTTCAAGATGCCATTGGATCATGCCTAGAGCTTACACTGTTTTCTACATATTTCACGATTAATCTTTTCTGGTTTATATCTGATGTTTAATTAATTCGCCTCTGTTTCTTTTGGTATTCAGGAGTACTTCTGCAATCCACCATCTCTATCTGTTGCCCCCACCAAGTGGCATAAATTTACTTCCAGTTTGATGGTATTGATACTGTTTCTACATTTTAAAGGTGGCCTTTATTGGTGCATATTTTGATTTTTATGCAATTTATTAATTTATTAATAATTTGGGGAATTCAGGTGGTTCTGAGCACATTCGAGGCTCAGCCTATAAGTGATGAAGAAGGCAATGCAAATTACCTTGAGGACGAGGCAGCAGCATTCAACATTAAATATCTTACAAGCAGTAAGCTCATGGGTCTTGAGGTGCGAATAACACTACTCTGGGAAAACATTTTTATTATATTAAATATTTTGAAATGCAATGAATATTTCTTAAATTTCTTTTCTTTTGCAGTTAAAGGATCCCAGTTTTCGGCGTCACATTCTAGTTCAGTGCCTCATTTTGTTTGATTATCTAAAGGTAGTTACATGCATTTTTTATGGTGCTTTTGGGAAAAAACTGAAAATTGTGGTGGGATAGTACTTTTGGGAGTTCTCAAGTGCTTGGCATTGGGATTGAAAAATGCTATTTGTATTTTTAAAGACAATCATTTTATAAAATATAAATGCTATCTGCTGGTGAAAAGGATGGGGTGCCAAAGTTAAGACGAACTCTTGTAATGATATTTTGCTTCATCTGTATTTACTTCATGATCATGCAGCTGCTGTCTCATCCACAGCAGTGTAGCACTTGAACATAGCAGCTTTATGCAACAGTATAATTAGCTTCAGTAGTGCTTCATTTTCATCATTTTCAAATTAAACTTTAGTGTTAGATTTTTTCTTTCTTTCAATATTTACACAATTTGGTCTCATCTATTCTCCGGAAAACATTGTCTTCTTTTTGTGTGTATGCCGTATGGTTTTGTAACTTTTGTATAGCCTTGTATCTAGATGGACAAACAATTTGCAACTGCAAAAACTGTGTGTTTTCTTCAAAGCTAGAAATGTGATTGTGAGAACATACAAATTTGTGTATTCATGACTCAACAACAACAACATCAAAGACTTAGTCCCAAAAGATTTTGGGGTCGGCTAACATGAATCGATACATGATATTGAAGCCAAAAGGAAAAGAAAAATAAGAAAGATAAAAAGATAAGGTATGATAAAGAAGATAAAAAAAGATAACGATAAATATAAGATGAAGATAAAATGATAAGATAAAAAATATAAGGAGAATATATAAAAAAATAAAAGGATAAAGAACATACTATGTCGATTTCTTCTAGCATTTACATTCTAAATGCAGTGTCTTGAGTATTACATTTCTTCTGGACTACATGCACATGCATACTATGTCGGCTCTCTGTTTCAAAGTTACAATCCTGATGCTATCCAAAAAGTTACTGAACTTTCACCGGGAAATCATAAGCAGTGCCTCTTTAACTTTGTGTAGATATTCCCTGACATGTTTGTTTAATCTTACCTTGTAGGCGCCCGGAAAAAGTGATAAGGAGTTGCCATCTGAAGCCATGGTTGGTATTCACCATCATATTGCCTATTTGCCTGATTTCTTTTGGAATAATTTATTAATTTTAAGCAATTCATTCTTTTCATTCTCTATAGCCTTTCCCTTGGGCTATCAAGATAGTGAAAAGGATAAGCCACAAAGGAACTGCCATATGTAATGATCTATTGGAAATTATAATTGTATTGTGTTTACAATTATAAACATATGCAGCTCCTTGTCTAAGTGAACTGTAAAATACATTTTTGTATGGTGTGAAAGATGGCCTAGCAAGTTTATCCCATTGTTCATTTAAAAGATGTGTTCTGAATTTATTGTTTACTTAAGACAAATAGTTAGGATTAGGTGGTGGTGTTGATGATTCATATTTCTTATGTGTGTCCTTTTATGTTTGACTAATGTAGAAAGAAGAAATAAAGACATGTGAAGAGCGAGTGAAGAAGCTGCTTGAAATTACTCCACCTAAAGGAAAAGAGTTTCTTCAGTCCATTGAGCATATACTAGAGCGTGAAAGGAATTGGGTGAGCATCAAGTGATCCTCTCTCTCTCTCTCTCTGCAATACTGCAACACTACATCTCTTTATCGTGCTTTATGTATACCCGCATGTTGTTGCCTTTATATTTATAATTTTTCAATATCTTTTGTTATGTATTTAATTTGGACGTCTTTTAAGGTTTGGTGGAAACGTGATGGTTGCCCTCCATTCGAAAAGCAACAAATTGAGAAGAAGCTAGGCCAAGGGGGGCAAAAGAAACGGTATGCTAAGACTCATGTCAGTAGCAATCCTAGAGGATAAAAATTACCAGAAAATGTGATTGGCACATAGCCGAGAATTTTCAACTTGACCATTATAATTTTAATAATAATCTGAATATCAATATTATAATGACAATAGAATATCTGGGTGTTTTGTCTCAAGTTTTTTGCTTTCTTGGTGGGTAGTTGGGTTACTACCTTATTGTTCGGCTATCCACAATCCTTGATAAATATCAAATTAGAGACTATATGTGGTATCATATTTTTGAGCTTGCAATATTTGTTATTTATCATGCTCTTTCTCCTAAATTTTTCAGTCGGCAACGGTGGAGGCTTGGAAATAAAGAACTATCTCAGTTATGGAAATGGGCTGATCAGAATCCGGTTTGTTTTGTAAATCAGAAATTTGAAGTTTTTTTAAGGATTTTGGACAACCTGTTATTGTATGTTATATGGGACCATAATTTATCTTATGTTGAACTCACAGAATGCTTTAACTGATCCTCTACGCGTGCGCACCCCTGACATCTCAGACTACTGGAAACCCTTGGCCGAAGATGTAAGCTACAACATACGCGGTTTGAAAAAAAAACTTATATTTTTACCCCTTAAAAGGTGTTAATCTCTCAACACCATGTACTCAAGAATTAAAACCTTTGTAAAATTACAGATGGACGAATCTGCTGGAATTGAAGCAGAATATCATCACAAAAATAATAGGGTCAGTTTCTCATGTTGCTCCTTTTTGCTATTAACTTTCTGGGTGCATTTCTTACAACTAAAAAGAACGTCATAGGTGAAAACTTGACCACGGAAGGAGGGATGGAAAACTGTAGTATAAAGACAAAAAATGCACCGACCAAAAGTGAATGTAAAAAATGAACTTTTCATTCACATTACTGTGTCTCGTCTGGTGCAGGTATACTGCTGGAAAGGTCTCCGATTTTCTGCAAGGCAAGATCTGGAAGGATTTTCTCGAGTATGAACGCTTTGCTGTGTTTGTGTGTAAAGAGAGTGGGGGAGGGGGGAGAATACATGTATAATTTCTGAAACATATTATGCCTACATTACAGTTCACAGAATATGGTATTGAGGGTGTTGTGCCTATGGAGCTGTTGCCTCCAGAAGTAAGGTCAAAATATCAAGGCAAACCAAATGACAGGTCTAAGCGTGCCAAGGAGGAAACAAAAACTACAGTCCAACAAGCAGAAGAAAATCAGGTTAATGGAGTTATCAAATTCATGCTTCATTCGTTTTTTGTTAGTTACTACGTATTCTGTTTTTGAGAAGCTTATTAATACTTGATCATATATCATGTTGGAAATAGATAAAACCTTACCTTTTCAACCGTGTCTACTACTCTATCCCAGTGCACTACCCCTACAACTTCCCTCTTGAAACCATGAAAAACCTAATGGATCAACTAAATAAAAATGGACAGAGTATTCATTCTTTCTGAGATTCATACTTATTCCAATGCAACTCCCCTCATCATTATCATTACCCCAGTGCCGCAAAGGCTCCAACCTACGGTGGGGTAGGAGAGGGTCGGATGTACGCAGTCTTACCCCTGCACTAGAGCACAGAGAGATTTCCAGATGACCCATAGTGAAAAACGCGCCGAAAATTGCATGGACCGACTGCTCTTTCATAATAAAGAAGCGCAGACAGTTCAGTGAACCATTTTGCTTTATTCCATCATATTCCCAAGCAAAAAAATAGTGAGTCTTTGGCTCCATTGCAATTGATGGAAAGTCCAATGTGACTCCCCTAAGTTGAAAAAATGTTACGAACTTCATTTTTGCATACCTAAAATGCATGTGTTATATTTTGGAGGTAAATTTGTTGTAAGCTTGTATTGTAAACGATTCTGGTTATCTATCTTCTTTTTGCCTAGGCAACCACACTGGCTGATGAGGTAGGCGTTGAAGGCATCAGACCCGACCTTGAAACCACCTCCGCTGCTCCAATGGACACATATACTGCCGGGAACATTTCCCAAAGTGGAACACCAACTAGGGATGAAAATCAGAAGCAAAGTTCTGACACAGATGGTCAAGCAGGGCAGATGGAGGCTGATGCAGAAACACGGATGCTGATGGTAGCTGATCCTGAAACAGTGGGAGGAACCGAAACAGGTGATGCAGAGGCAGATTTAGATACACTTGGCTGATTAACTATTATGATCAAGATGAGCACTTGATAGTAGAGAAGCTATATGTATATTTATGGCTGAATTTACCCCTTCATGGAACCTCATTTTCATTTAAGAGTTTGGATCGAACAACTCCATTTAAAGGTCTGCATTAAGATACTCCTTGCCCACACAGATCAGATTACCACTCCATTCAATCATAATTTTATGGGAACTATGACTGATAGTGCAAGTTCGGTAAACTTCTTTCGATTTTGATAACCAAAAAGTTTTTTCACTGGCTAAATTTGGAATAATTGAGGCGAATTTACAATGGAAAGAAATACTCCGTAGCATTTTTATTACCCCGTCTTTCAAAGCACTTTCTAATTTGAACTTCATGAGGAAATTGGTTTTTGTTCTTTGCCTTTGGCAACTAACTTTTTGTTGAAGGTAAGTATTATTTTTTTGAGAGGTAAGGGTCAGATTAGTCCTCGAAGTTGTATAAAAAGAGTCAAATAAGTCCTTATATAGGAGGCTTTGTCTGGACATCGCCATTCGCGGCGGTTCCTGGTGAAATTTTTTGGTGAAATTTTTTGAGCATCTTATTCATCAAGTCTAGTTTATTCATACCAAATTTCAGATAAAATTTAAATCGGGAAGACATTCAAATGAAGTTTTGAAGATAACTGCGCAGTTATCTTCAAGAATTCATTTGAATGCCTTTCCGATTGAAGTTTCAGCTGAAATTTGATATGAGTAAACTAGACTTAATGAATAAGATGCTCAAAAAATTAATCAAAAAATTTCACCGGGAATCTCCCGAAATGGCGATGACCGGACAGTAAGGACTTATTTGACATTTTGACCCTTTTTATGCAATTTCAAGGATCAATCTGACCCTTACCTTATTTTTTTAACAATGTACTATAACTGTTGATTGAAATAGTAGGGTAAATTAATAAGTTTATCTCCCAGAAAAGAATATCAGAACTTACAATTAGGGATGATTTGGGATGGGTCGGCCCGACCTGGTCCTGGCCAGGGCCTGGAACTGTATAGGCCCTGTCTGACCTGTTACTATATAGGCTCGACCCAGGGATCGGACCGGTGGGTATAAGGTGCGGGCTTTGGGACTAATTTTTTGGGGTCGGCCTGACTCGGTACTTGTACAAATCCAGGCTGGTATTGGGCCTGAAAACCTTAAGCCCGAAGCCCGCCTGATCTTGTCCCAGTCCATCCCTACTCGCAATCTACTTATTTTTCTCTACCATGCACAAATTTCGAGCACATAGTTTTATTTTTCTTATTCCACATCCAAATCAAAGTAAACAGTGCCCAATGAGATGTAACCTATAGGGAGTAGAAAAAAAAGGATGACATCCCATCTCTGAGGAGCCCTCAACACCGATCGGACGGTACGTTGTGAGGATGTAAATTGGACTATAATCACAATTTGATAGATAGAGAATGAGGTTCTGTCTCCGGTACTTGCAGAGGCCCTATGCATTTTTTAGCATAGTGACCTCTCATCGCAGTTGTCGAGATTCAAATTCGTGATCTAACCCTTGTGTCACTCCCTGGCTACCAGTTGAGCTACGTCCACCGTTAGATGTAGGGACTAGGGAGTAGCAAGTTTGGAGGTGTTGCAGGCTATAGTGTAGAGGGGTAGAATGGAGAGAAAATGTTTAATTAGAATCAGTCTGTCACCCATAGAAAAGAACTTTGGTTACCATGAGAACTTTTGTTACCATGAGGAGAGTTTCTGATCAAGAGTTTGATAAACCATCATACTTTCTTAATGGGAAATGATAATGATAATAATCTTATCCGAGAAATCAAACATAAATAGGATAACTATTAGGGCTGGTTTGGTTTTGGTGGAATCTCACATGGAGGCCGGAATGTGATGCACATAATGTCAGATGTCCATGTTTGGTTCATGGGTTTGAGAAAAAATCGGAAAATTTACATTCTCGAAAATGCAATATGGAGGGGAATATTATAACCATCCATGCCTTAGGTTATCTTACATTCTCGGGGATGTCTAATATCCTTCCGAAAATATCCTCAATTTATTATCTCTTTTCATTTAATTTCTTTATATAGTGTGATTTTATAAAACTTTTAATATAGTTTCTAATATGTAAATACGTAGTATTATTTACTAAAACATAATCTTATTACCGAAAGAGATCAGTTAATTTTATGGTCAGTTGAACTTAAATTGTGTTACAATCTTTTAAGTGGGACATATAGAGTATGTTTATTTAATTATATTTGAATGTCTATTCTTGTTATTTTCATAATTCTTTTTTCCTTAACATTTAAAATTTTGAAGGTATTTATTTTATAAGACTTATAGATTATTTAAGTTTTTGATGAGTGGATTTCAAAATTTAATGACAAAATTGATCATTTTTTCTTTAATTAGTCCCATTGGACTTTGTCAACTTTACCTTTTTTATTGTCCCAAAAAACTTTGCCACTTTCATATTAAAGCAACTAATTTGTGGTTCTGCACATTTATTTCTCATCTGCACAAATCTCAATCACATAATTTTTACTATTCTTATTTCTCACCTACTTTGCACTTGACAAAGTCCACCGAGACAGAGGTAGTATTTAGATTACTATTTGAACAAAGTTTTTTTCACTTTTGAATTGGATCTACAACTTTTTACAATTAAATATAGTTTACTTAAAAATAATTCAATTAGGTTTGATTTTATTTATTATTAAGATATTTCATTTTTCTTTAATTTTAATTACTTTAGATGTAGGTTGTTATAGATTTATTGTGTTAAGAAAAAATATTGAAAGGGCATTGAAGTAATTCACTATATCTGCAATAGAAGATGTCTTTCAATCAAGTAAATTGATATCACATTCTCTTAATCTTAACCAACACAAATGAGAATAAATTGGATACATTCTCACCAATCTAACATATCCAGCAATCTGACATTCCCTGAACCAAACGACCTCTTAAGAATTTCCAAGAGAGCTTGTCAAAAGTCGTTGCCATATCAAACTTGAGTGCAATATTAGCCCTCTGACATTTCTATTAAGAGCATGTATCATTTCATAGGAGGAGAAGGTTGAACCTATTGGCAACATACAAAGTTTAAGGGTATATTTGAAACCTCTCCCTATTCGTATTAGATTCTACAATTCAATTTAATTTGAATGTAGATTCTTGATAGCACAACAACACCCAAGTCTCAGTTCCAAAAGATTTTGGGATTGGTTAACATGAATTGATATATGTCATTGAATAAAGGGGAAAGAAAGAGATCATGATAAGGTATAATAAAAAGATACTCCATCAGTCCCATTTTGTAAGATAGTTTTCCTATCCAATTGGTCAACACAAATAACTCTTAACCTCTTAATTTATATATCAATTTTTTTAAAATTTGATTCTGATTTTGCGACTTTGTAAAGCTTTTAATGTAGTTTCTGAATATGTAATTATTTTTTTCTAACAATAGTTTGAGTGCGGATAGAGATCTATTTGCTTTATCGTTGGTTAAACATCGTAAACCGTAAAATGCATTACAATTCGGGACGGATAGAGTAACAAAATAGATAAATTATTCGTAAAATGATAAGATAAAAAGGATAAAAAGAATATGTATATAAATAGATAGTGATCGGCGGATAGCGGTGGTCACTATAGGAATTGGTGGTCGGAAAATTTTCTAGCGATTGCAGTGACATGTTTTACTGCGAGTCTGCAACAATGACATCCGTAAATGACATAAAAATATGAACGTGACATTTCTTAGTGACATGAAAAAATCGCAGTGACATAAAAAGTTTATTGTGACATCATGTTTTCCCAAATATATAAAATTGTTAGTCACATTTTTGTCAATATTTAAAAGTAGTCACATTTCTAAAAAGTGACTTTAATTTAGTAATATTAAGGGGAAAATCCCATAAATATATTACTACCTCTGCCCCCCTAAGTTTCAGACAAAGAGGTATGTTGTGGTTTTTATGAAAAAGTAGAATTGTGTAGTTGATATTAAATTGATAAAGTGTGAATAAAGTAAGTATGAATTATAGCTGTTCAAATATTACCAAAAATGATATGAGACAAACTTAATAGGACAGACGAAAAAGGTAAAACAAGACAAAGTTAGGGAAGGGGGACGGAGGGAGTACATTTTATTGGAGATTTTTATTTTGAGAAAAATGCTACTCCGTATTTATGTTTTTTGATAAATATTAATTCTGGGTTCCTTTGCAAATTCACGTTTTTGTATTGATTTTCAACTAATTTTAAAATGAATCGATATTTTGATTTGGATAATCAGCTTTTAAGTTTTCACCCTGTAATATATAGAAGAAATAGTACGGAGTATCTATTTTTTCACTATGAATTTTAAAAATGCAGGCTTTCACTTTCTAACTTTGAATTTGTACTTAATGTGCACTTTCATTTTTCATTTAAGTTTTTATATTGACATTTTAGACTCTCTTTATTTATATATTTAATATATTTTCAATACCTTACATGTTATAAAATTTTAATTTGAAATTTATATAAAAAATTCATATTTAATTTTTTTAAATTTATATAGTTTTCCATATTCTTTAATTCCATAAACTACCTAAAAAGGTTAATTATAATAAAAATAAATATTTGTATTCAATTTTTACCATTTGTATTTATTCATGAAATCTTTTCAGAGTTGATTAATTACCTAAACTACCTAAAAAAGTTAAATTAATTTTGAGAGTAAAAAATTTGACATGTCACAGTTCGAATACTTATTTTTGAGAGTACACTCGGATACTTATTTTTTTAAATGACTAAACATTCAGTTGATCATGTGGGATCATTATTGTCAGAAGATCCATAAAGTTGAGATTATTGTTAGATAATCGACAACAGTGGTGGAGACACCATACTTCAAAGGTGTTCAAGTGAACACCTAAATTTTTGAAAAATATATTAATATACATGTATAAATTTAATTTAATTGTACAAAAAAATGAACACCCAAAACATGAGCCATACATCTACCACTGATCGATATTTAGGATTATTATGAGCAGATCGACAATAATTGTGTTGGGATATATTATCTCGATCTGTTATAGTTTAGAAGCCCAACGCATTATCCTCATGCAGGTCTCGACCGACGAGGCCCATTTCGACCCTTGCGGCTAGGGATGGACTAAACCGGCCCGGCCCGGCCCGCTACTGTGCGGGCCCGGACCGGGTTGGGACCGGTTGGCCGGTTCCGGGCTTTTAGCCCGTTTGGGCGGGCCGGGCGGGCCGGGCTCGGGCCCAACTTTTGTTGAACCGGC